TTTATGAACTGGGGGAAGTAGACAGCATTACAAATAAACAGTAGCAGCCCAGGAAAAACAAGTGCCACTATGGCTGTCAAGAGAAATAGAGAAATACCTTCTGAAATGCAGTCTAACTATTATTACGTTTTCCACGATCACTATTAACACTGGGAAATGTGGGGTAGGCTTGCAGCTTCTTTGGGTAACGTGACTGTTTATTTTACAGCTGCCGTACAGATGAGATGAAACAGATGGCACCCATCAACGTTTTTAGATGATTCGTTCTGAATCCTGATGAATTAAGTGGTTATAGCTTAACACCCACATTCCTAATTTCGGATAGAAATATGGATTTTGCACGATATAAATGCTGTTGATATTCCACGCAAGTATTTCGGTGGAAGCGGTTTCAATATTAAAAAGCCGTTCTAAAAGCGATAACACTAAGCTTTTGCCTGGAGAAGGTTTCTAAATATTCTCATTTGGTAATGCTTCATTTTAACCTCTATATTTAGCACTGATATGTACACCTATCAGCCACAACATTAAAAGCTGCTAACAGGTGAAGCGAATAATACTGATCATCTTGTTATAATTCAATGTACTGCTGGGAAATATTGGACTCTGGCCTTCACAACCCACTATTGCCAGGAACCTCTCCCAGCTGAACAATGCACCCTGCAACTCAACAAAAACTAATTACAGGAACACAACGAAGAGCTCAAGACCCCGACAGGACCTTTGTGGGGTGTGTTGTAACGAGGCACCTCCAACCTGCAACCGACAGGATCTAAAGGATTTGCAGCCAATGTTCTGATGCCAGACAACACAAGACATCCCAAAAGGTCCCGTGTCAATACCCTGATGAGTCAGACCTGTTTTGGCAGCAGAAGGAGGTCCTACACATGATTAGACAGGAGGCTGTAATGTGATTGATGAGTGTATAAATTGCTAAAATTACGTACAACACACTATAATGTAGCTTTGAGTAAATGCTAAGAAATTCCAAGTTTTTAATTTATTTTGATAACAGTTAAAGCTTTTCCTAATTGGTACATAATGAGTGATAACCCTGAATAACCAGTGTAATTGTAATTTTATTTGACTGTATACAGGCTGTAAATGATTAATAACGTGGGTTAGGCTACTCAGTGTGCCCCTACCGAGGTCATCACCTTGGAGATAGTTGTGAGAGTTGTTGACCCACCCTCCCATTACGCAATTTATTAAGTTCACCTGGGCCACTCACACCTTGACACACTTGTGACCCCAATGAACCACATCTTGATTCACATCTTGGCTCATGTTACCCTACCAACACCTCCGTTGGCAGGGTAGGTTAGATAGTATGTTCAAGCTAAAGTTGGAAAATGGAATTTCTCCTAAAGTCGGATTTCCAACTCAGAATGAATGCGTTGATCACAAATCCTATTTTTCCGACTTTACTACTGGAACACGCTCAACTCGGGAGTGATGCAAATCCAACTTCTGAGATAAATGGAAAGCAGTAAAGACTCTCAGGACCACCTCCAAAGACGCCTCTCATGCGAGAGATAATATATGTTTATGAACCTAGAAAAAACCAAAACATCAATTTGCCTCTAACTCAACTGGATGTATGACTTTTAATTTGTAATAAAAGCTCAAACTTCCTGGGTATTTGACTGCAGCTTTGGCTGACGGTGTATACCGTGTTCACCTGTGCTGGAGCCACACCCAGGCAGACTGTAAGGGATCAAACTCATATTTACTTCCTTTCTTCAGCTGCTAGTTTTTATTTCCAAACTAATTAGCATATGTAAACTTTACATATATAATACACTCTCTCTCTCTTTATATATAAATATCTAAAACCAAGTATGATTATTATTCCTATGTAAAGGATTTCTAGTTTGTGCAGATTAGAACTGTGGATATTTGTAGAAATAAATCCAAAACCGGATATTCCCAGAGATCATTATCTTTGTCTACGTATGAAATAGGTAGGTTATTATTAAAGACTGTGCTTGATAAATTGATTAAAAAGCACCACTTTCAGGTCAGCTGTAATCACTTCTTTATCAGTGTCTGGAGATGGTATCAAAAAATATAAAAAAAAAAAAACCCAACACAATTTGATTTTAAAACATTCACATAAAAGTTGTATCATATTATATTGGTAGTAAAAGTCATACCAATGTATGCACATGCTTGATATACATTCTGTACAGTACACACACATATATGTATATTCATATATATATATGAACAACAACTTAGACATCAACATGAATACTGTTGCTTCTTTTTCATTGCTATACATCTTTTCACTTTACAACCCCCGCACATTCAGAAGTGGAAACAATCAATCTGCCCTTTTCAGTTACTATTTGGAAGAATGACGAGTGTTTGTGGAGGTTGGGGCTCTATTATAAGAACACCGTCTTTTGGAGGTCAGCAAGCTCTATCTGTCAATCACTCGACAGCCAACATCTCCGCTCTTCTCGAGTAGGCATGGGACAAAGATATTACTAAAGCTCAGACAAAGATTCTGGCATTCTCGGAGAAAGAAAACACTTTTAATGGATCCTCTACATTTTTCCGAAACATGCATCTCAAGTATCTGGCAGTGCACGTAAAGTCAGCAAATCCACAAATCCCCCAAAATCCAATAGTTACCAAACCACCCGAGCCAGATTGCTAAAAAAAAAAAAAAAATCACAAAGCCACACACTAGATGCTTCATAGCTCCACATTTAAACAAAGGAAATCCTCTTGACTCTGTTAAATATGGCATCTATTCAACCACATGAAAGTTGAAACATTTTCCCAATGATTGACCAAAACTGTAAAATGATCTAAAATGATTCTTATTGAAATAATTACCATGGCTGGAAATTAACTTTCCAAAAAGTGGAACAAATCCATCAAATAAACCTGATTCATGGTTAAAAAAAAACATGTAATGACACTAGGTAATTTTGCTGGATTCAAGATGCATGTTAAAGCTAGATGTAATGATATAATCACAAAAGTCACAAAGCACTCATGTCAACATTTCTTCTTTTTAAATGTGTTCTAAAAATAAAGTCACTTGACTAAATTGCAAAAGCATGTTCAAGGAAATGAAAATTAAAGCACTCTTTCACTCTCTGAAAGAAGAGGGCCGTTCGTTACTAGTGCTGAACCTCTCAGTGCCTGTTCTCTACGTAGTCCACCCAACAAAATGAAACCTGTAAGCCAGGGGTGTCAAACTCAAATACACAGTGGGCCAAAATTCAAAACTGTAACAAAGTCGCGGGCTAACGTTAATATTTATTGAAATATATTTATTCCTCCAGATATAAGAATGAATCTTTTCTTATGGACTCAAACACGTTTTGCTGAAAAACTGAATATGGAACAAGCAAAGCTTAATACTAAACAATATATATATTAGCTGTATAATACCAGTAGGCCAGATCTGATAGTAATTTGGTATGGCTTCACGGGCCAAATGCAAGTAGGCTGCGGGCCAAATTTGGCCCACGGGCCAGAGTTTGACACCTATGCTGTAAGCGTTCCAACACCTACATACGATCAGGTTCCTGCTTTATCTTTGGCACCAAATAAAGAGCCAAGTAAAGCACCCCAGCCAAAAGCCTGTAATAGAACTAGTAAGAAAACAATGAGTACATCTCCTAAACAGCTAGCCCAGCACTTTGTGATTAGAGGTTCATAACCCAGCAGAGAATACATGATGATATGTTATCATCATGTATCATCAGGAAAGTGTGCTGAGGGATTAGAAGTGGCCAGAATGGGATTTGCACTTCAATATTAAAGCCTCAGGTGGCTCCCTCAGCTTTAGCAGTTTTAAATATAACACTTGTGGTTATTCTTCAGCTATGTGCACCGTCGTCTTCTGTAACTCTTAGGATACAGCGACCTCTAGTGGCAGAACTTAAAGCATGTTTTTAAAAAAATGAACTGCAGTATTTCTGATTCATCTCTGAGGGGAACATCTGAGCAGAGGAAACTGCCTCTCCTCTCCTGTGATCTGTGACATAGGCACTGACATCATAATAATAATGGATTGGATTTATATAGCGCTTTTCAAGGCACCCAAAGCGCTTTACAATACCACTATTCATTCACTCTCACATTCACACACTGGTGGAGGCAAGCTACGGTTGCAGCCACAGCTGCCCTGGGGCAGACTGACAGAAGCGAGGCTGCCATATCGCGCCATCGGCCCCTCTGGCCAACACCAGTAGGCAAGTAGGGTAAAGTGTCTTGCCCAGGGACACAACGACCAGGACAGAGAGCCCAGGGATCGAACCGGCGACCTTCCGGTTACAGATGCGATTCCCAACCCCCTGAGCCACGGTCGCCCAATCAGCATGAAACTATCCAATCAACCCCACTTCCTGTACTAGGAAGTTGCCCATATTTGGCCATTTGTCAGTTACTGACAAGGCATACCCTGGTAAGGACACAAACTCTACAGTACACTCACATTCACTACAACAGGGCTGACCAAAAACATACATACAAAAAAAAAAAAAAAAGAAATACACAAAATATTTTGTGTACCAGCTGGTTCTGATACTCTACAATAAATAAATCTACTCTGAGCACAATACACGCCACTATCCTGACATTGGATATGTGCAAATGTTTTATGGGTGCCAAGAAACACACACAGATGTTATGATAGACTTAAAAGTTTCATCGGGGGCAACAGAGCTTTTTTACATAAGATATTCCGATGTGCTTCAGTAGGAAAAATGCAGGTGAAGCGAGTGTCACCTTCCTATCAATCGCTCTTCTAAAGTATGAGCGCACATCCAAGGTTTTGGAACTGGTTAACCTGAACGACACACAGCCACGTTTAAATGTTGTAAAGTACACCTGTGCTTCTCCTGCTGTGACAAGACAAAAAGTCCGCTGTGAAAAAGGTCGACTGAGTTCCAGAGTGAAGTGGACTGAGCTGAGCCTGCTGGGAGATGTGGACCAGAGAGCTTGTGGCGCTGACGTCGACGGGGCATTGAGGCAACTTAGGGCCGATGAAATCTGAAAACACAGACACAAAGGTTTATTTACAACAGAAGAAACACACAGACAGTATAATAGAAATACATGAATGTATTGTCATTTATTAGCAATTCCTACTAACACTCCGAGTAGTAACCTGCACAGTACCTGGGAATAAACTTGCATCTGAAATCACTTTTCAGATCTTGAAAAATCCTCAAACACTAAACCAACTGCTGTCGATATAAACCAAAGCTCAGTGAACACTAGGGCTGCCAATTTTCATTTGAATTTCAAACTTGTATTTTTCTTTTTTTAACAGAAACATAAATTACTCATCTGAATTCAAAGCAACCAACACACATAACAGACCGCATCTTTAACTCCAGGAGGTGGGTGTTTACAAAATGCTTTGTCAGGCTACATTGTGAGTAGTTTGTGTGATCAAAGACAGTCGGTAACAGCAGTTTGTGGTGAGTTATTTGCTGACTGTAGACACTTAATAGTAATATCTTTTTACATAGTCGAGGCATCAAATAACAGAATGAGAATGAAATGAAGACATGGCTAAGCATTAAGCTGTCAGGGCCGCATTGATCTGCGTAATCCTTGTGGTGTCGTCGGATCAAAAATGGTCCCTAGGTGAATGACAGACAAGCATATGGGAATCCCGAGGACCACAAAGCAAAAAATAGTCATGTGAGAAAAAGGATTATGTGCAGTCCTATAGAAAAACTAACCATTAAATAAGCATTTCACCATCTTAAATCATCTTTAAAAGTCATTGAACTTATCTTGATGCTTACCTAGAAGCAATAACTTGAACACTTGTTTTTCTGTATGACTTTATCAATCTGTCACATCATTGTGGAGGAATGTTATGGGATCATTGTCTTGCTGCATTGACCCAATTACACTGCCAGACAGATGGTTTCACATTTGACCCTATAATGCTAACTCAAGACCAAATTCTCACTCCTCCATCGCTGAGACGGACAGCTGGTTCAGATTCCTTTTACAAACATGTGCTGCGTATGTATCCAAACATCTATGCCACTCTGCTCCCTTGCAAAAGACAGTGTGTCCTTTGGTTTGTTCAGATGCAACTTTGGAAACCTAAGCCATGTTCTTTTAGAGGCTTCCTCTTGGAAACTATTCCAAACAAGCCATACTTTTTCAGCTTTTATCTAAAGGTACTGTCATGAACTTCAACATTTAACATGCTGAGACCTGTAGAGTCTGAGGTGTAGCTCTTGGGTCTTTTCATGTGAATCTTCAGGTGAATTTCTATGAAAGATTGTGTTATTAACACACATCTGAATGCTCCACACCAGCAAACTTCTGCTTTGTTGATGATCAATTCATCAAGTGCATTTGATTTTCAGCCTGGCTGCTCCTTACCCTCTAAATTCCTAAGGAAGCAGTAATCGTGTAGATAGTTTTTCACCGGACTCTAGAAAGAAACTTATTCACATCACTGTGAGTGAGACAGATTATAATATGAACATTGTTTTATCATGTACCGTTGCTACGTTTCAGCGTGTTATCAGGCAAAAACAGTCAAACACGAGTTTCCTCTATCTTTGAGCTGCGGCTGCTGGCTTTAGAACGAAAATGGTGGTGGTGCATTTTAATCGTGCTGTTAATTAAAGTGTTTTAACAATAGATTTAAATCTTGCAGAAAAGCACAAGTCTACAGGGTTTTTTTTCCCTCTTCAAAAATATGGCACAAAGGAAAAACATTTCTGGGCATCGTAGAACAAATGACGCATTTCATTGATTTCTCAAAGGAAAATGAAAATCGTGGACCTTCCTTCAAATGTTTCCATTGTCAGACTCAAAAGAAAGGAAGCGTTCTGCTCATCTTTTTTTTTTAATTTCTTTACAAAACATACTTTTGGAAAGATTTCAGTTTTAACTTTGTCTTCTTAAAGCACGTGTTCTCATTCTCATCTCATTATATTGACTTTTGTAATGAATTTGCAGGTAAGGCATCCCCTCTGAGGACTTTTGCATGTGGACTATGTTTGTGCACAAGTTGCTTTTCCTCCATTTCCAGCCCGTGTACATTTTATATCAAAGTTTTCTTGTTCCTAAATGTTATCTTGACTTCTGTGGCTCACCTTTAATAGCATTTTTAAAGTCAGACAGGGAAAATTGCACCCTGGAAGCACTTTTCTTTCTCTTTTATACTCTTCTCCGTTGCATGACCTGCCCCTCAGCCCTTAACAATTTAATAAAGTCTTGAGGCAAAAACATTGCCAGACATAATGCTGCCACTGCTGGGTTTTTTTCTTATTTTCTCTAAATTCATAAAACAAAGTATAATAAGATATGAGGAAATAACGGTGACTCAATGTCTCTGTTCTGCATGAGTTGCAGTAACATCTCTTCTCTTTCAAAAACATCAACAACTATGTAATTTCACAAGTTCAGAAAGAGGATGTAAACAAATATTGAAACATTTTGCGCTAGTTGTGTTTTTATTGAAAGGTTTATAAGTTCTTTTTGGTGGGCTCGGCACACCGATAAAATAACAAATGAGAGAGGGAACCTAACCTTTATTGTCAATTATTGCCTGAGGTAAATAAACTGGAGTCGACCCAGGAGTATATCGTGACTTTAATGTGGGACTAGAACAATATAAATATTGATCAATGTGACTAATAAACAGCAGCATTTACTGTGATAAAGCGATAATAAAGCTTCAGAGTCGGCTTAAATGGTCAATGCCATTGACCGCTTAAGTACCTGGTGAACTGTTTGCTGTCTTCATGAACCTCCATCTCTCGGCTTTTAAACTCATTCAGCTCCTTACGGATAGCAGCCTGGGGGCAGAACACACACATACAAAGACACACACAGAAAATAACATCATTAGAAGACCAAGGCCAACTGTGCCCCCCCACCCCAATCACCTTTTCCAAGTAAGCTCATGATGCCTTTGAGCTGTTTCAATGTGAAATGTTCAGATGCTTAAGCGCTCTCATTTGGAGCTTTTAAGATGTTTACAGATAATTTCCATAAATCTGCAGAGCTACAGTCTTTGCTTCGGGGAAGTAGTCGGAACTAATAGTATATGAGTTAAAAAAATCGAGCAAATTACACAGCAGCACAAATGATTATTCTCATTCATTTTAACTTATAAAATAATGATTTTAAAGGGATTTATTGTAATGTTTGTAACCGACTCTTCCCTCAAGCCTTACATGAAAAGTTTGTTTTGTCTGTCGTCAGTAACATCAAGTACATCCATTTTTTGACCTGGTTGTGCAGGTGATGCTGTGAAGTCGGAGGTTTATTTTTAAAGCTGTTAAGGATTTAGTTAGACGTCGCTTGCTTTATTTGCCTGTCCATTCTTTTATTTGACAGTAATGAGTTTAGATTTGTGCGATCAGAAATAATTTATATGTCTCCAAGGCTGTCTGCGGTGTGACTGATGACGGAGATTTCACTGTACAAATGTGCAAGCAGACAGTTTACTTTGGTTTGTCCATGCATCGTTTTCCCTGTTGCCCTCTGAATGTGAGAAGATATCCTAAAATTGAATATACTGGATGTGGGCTGGAAGTCTCAAGGTCTGTATTTATGTGCTGTGCAGTTCTGAACATCAACAGCAGAGGGAAACCTTGACAAACTGCACACTTTGAGGGTCTTTATTGTCTGTGAGGATATTTTGTTAAGCCATGCTAAATATTCATACAGTGCAGATGGCACATATATGCAGTTACATACTGACTTAGTGTGAGCTAGGTGAATTTCATGTATATCATCAAGCATAAACACACAGAGACGTTTAAGACCATAATATGAAACACAACTGTGTACGCAGAAGGCCGTCCTGTTGAAACTAGAAAAAAACCTGCAACAAACTAAGACCCATACATAAATGGGTTTTTGATTTTGGCCTGCACAAGCTCTGACCCCAATCCACCACCTTTGGGATGAACTGGAACAGCGACTGCAAGCCAGGAAACATTTAGTGCCTGATTTTAATAATGCTCTTACAGCCCAGTGGGTTCAAATTCCTGCAGCCAAGATCTGAAATCTTTTCTAAAGTCTTCCCAAGAAGTCGAGGCCGCTACAAAAGCAGATGGTTGTTCGCCATATATGTGTGATTGCATGTCCACATATATTTTAAGTCTCTAATCACCAAAGTAATCAACATCACAAATTCACAAAATTTTCACCCTGAATAGAAACTGTAAAGGTTTCATAAAGCCCTAATAAATTAAATTATATCAGGCATTACAAAGCAGTCTACAAGAGCAGTACCTTGTCAGCAGGAGTAAGCCGTGTCCAGGGTTTGTCAGCTCGTCTGTCATAATCCTTGGCGTCCGTTACCTCCACATATTCATTAAAACGAAGAATCCTCCTAGCAACGAGCTCTGCCACCGTCGGCCTCACGCTCAGCTACACACAGATGAGAAAGGAGGAGAAAGTAGACAGTCAGTCGAATCAAATATTAAACTTCAAAATGATCTTCCCAGTATTTTGGTTAATGTCTCAGTTCCAGCTGAGTCCACTAGATGGCCTGATCTCTCTATATAAAACAGTTTCTTTCTACTACCATGACTCATAAGGTGGGGCAAAACATATTAGTAGCTAAATATAGACGTGCTGTGTACTTTCTGTTCTCTTATGTGTGTGTGTGTGTGTGTGTGTGTGTGTGTGTGTGTGTGTGTGTGTGTGTGTGTGTGTGTGTGTGTGTGTGTGTGAAATTTACAGTACCTTTCTCGTGAGCCTCCTTTTAATCTCTTGCTTAGCTTCTTGTTCCTCTGCTTCATTCTTTTCTGCATGTAGAGAACCAGCAGATTGATTTCACACCTACTATGTCTGCAACAAGTTACTGCATCTAATTATATACACAAGCTATAATTTGCAATATTAAGCCAAGTGCATGGCTATGCAGCAGTGTGGCTGCCATTACGTAAACAAAAGCAAAAAGGCGAAAAAAGGGAAATTAGATTCAATCTGAACGGCAAATATTCTTGTGAAATATTCATTGAATTGCACCATATATACACACACACACACACACACACACACACACACACACACGCATATATATATATATATAAACAGCTTGGTGAGGGGGCACTGGAGAAGTCAGTGACATCTAGTGGTCTCATCCAGATTGAAACAGAAGTCATGCAGGATTTACGACACCTAATCCTTTCCTAGCACAACACATACACAGTGTTACTTCTCTTCCTGTGTTTAAAGGAACACATGAGAGCCTTGCATTATTTCTCATGTGCTATGATGACACTGAGGCTGTGTGCTGCAGACCGAAACGTTTTAAAGTCTGCAAATCAACCTTTCAAAAAATAAATAAAATAATTAAATCAGAGGATAAAGTTACACAGATACCCAGTAAAGCTGTTGCTCTTGCTCTTGACACTTTTACATTACATTACATTATACACACAGTATTATATAATTTTACCAAATCTATTTGTAGATAAATTCTTGCCCACAAAGGGATGAACACCAGAAACAATATATCGGAACTTCCTTACCGCTGTTATGTATGTGGATATAACCACTACACGTATGGACTATGTGTATATCTGTTCTATTGACTGGGAATACAGGCATTCTTTTCACCTACAATAAAGCAGTATTATCATTGTATATTAGGGAAAGAGGTATCATGCATTTGTGCAGTTAGACCAAGAACAAATATACTGATTGAAGTAATGGGCAATTCTTAAAACCATAAAAGCCTGCACGAATGACAAATTTGAACTAAACAGGTGAGATCATAGCCGCTAGCAGAGTTATTTTATTCATGTTCAGTAGCATGACAAGCATGCTCGTTAGTGTGCGTTGGAAAACGAATGACTCAGACCAGCTTCTATCACTTCGGTATATAATCACCAAAGAAAATCCCCTCACAGTGTGATTGAACACATCACTCCACCGTGGGAGACACAAAGCTGCTAAAAGGCAGTAATTCATAATTTAGACAGACATATCTGTCTCATCCATCTGATTAATAAGACACGCAAGGTCGTATCTGAAGATCTGAAAGTGGCAGTAACAGATTGTGGCTGGGCAGCTGAAACAGCACAATACCGGCTTTAATGTGACCATCCTCATGATAGCTCTTGTGATATGGTTGCAGGTAGATAAATGACATTCGGGCTTTAAAGCATTATGACGATCATAAAAAAAAAGGTGTATCACGTCACACCTCTGTTGAAGAGTGTACTTACGCTTCAGAATGTTTCTCTGCTCCAGCTCCTCTGTGGTTGGTCTTTGGCTCAGGCGTCTAAAAAGAGAAAACTGTTTACACTCTTTTTACGAGCAGGTATGGATTTAATAATTCTGCAGGCTCGTGCAGAGAAAAATCCAAAATTATCAACACTTAAGATGTTGTTTTTTGTTTACACCTTTTGTTGCTGAGAATCTGAAGGCTGTTTTAACACCAGCCAATTTGGCTCATCTGTTAGAAAAGGCCAAACTTCAGGACACATTTTTAATGTGCATCATTTGTAACAGTATACCACCCACAGCTACACCAAAAAATAAACAACAATCTCTGTTGTTATCCTAAAGCAATGCCAAGCTTGAGAAAAAAGTAACACCTAGCCACATTTTCACAGTCCACTTTGTATGCGTGTGTTTGAGTGTACCTGACTAATTTGCTGCCAATCTGCTGGCGTAGCTCGTGCCTCTCCGTCTCTGAACTCTGTGGCAGAATGTTTTTCTCTTCCAGCTCTTTCTTGCTGGGTCGGTTCCCCAGTTTAATGTTCAAGGTGTCTCGTCGGCGGATCTTGCTGGCAAGAGAGGCTAGAACAGAGAGAGAACAGGCAGGGCTAGTAACAGTCTTCCGGGGGTCAGCTGTGGATCATAATGAACAAACAATGAAGAAAATGAGACGTTTAAAACCTGAAACATCAACAGAAAGTCCATTGTAATGATAAACAGATTAAATGCTGTTCACCAGTGCTGGTTAGTTTTGCAAGCAAAAGTTGCATCTTTGACAATTTTAACAGCATGACTGCACGAAGCAAACATTGCACCGTCACAGCAAGTTGGGCGGCTTCACAGTCTGACTGCAAACGGTTCTTTCACTTCATCTTGGGAGCAATGAGCCCTTGAGCTGAGCAGGATGTTAAAGCTATGGATGTGTTTCTGCAACCATTCAAGGGTTTATACACATCTGGTGACATGACATATTCTTTTACTGGAAGTGTCTATTCAGTAGCCATGAGCTGCTGGCCTACTGGTCAGTTCCACAACTCTGAATCAGGATACGCTGTCTTATATTAAAACCAAAGGTCATGTGTCATTAGGTAAAATATATATAAAACATATTTATTTGCAAAATAAATATGTTTTAACCATAGTAGCAGGACTAGCAGGGCTCTTTAGTTGTGAGGCAACAGTTCTAACCATTGACCCACTGCACTACATCCTCTTAAACACATCACACCCCGCCTGCTAACTGACATGTCGAAGTTGAGTTGTTTAGGTGAGCTTCTCTTTAAGTTCTGCAGCTGACGTGACTGTTGTCAAACATACTGTTTGAGTCCTCGTCTTCCTCCTCCTCTTCTTCCTCCTCATCCCGGTACAGGATTGGTCCGTCAGAATCAGAGTCACTAGTTTGGCTGTCTCTCGGCCTATCGGGTATCACGGTCACCTCGGCCTGCTCTGTTTTTACCCTGGGTCGCTGCGGCTTTTCTGCTTCATCCTCTGCTGACCTGCAGGAATCAATAACACAACAGTGTGACTAAACAAATTTTAATAGATTTATTGTCAGTTATCTAATTTCATATAACAGCAAATCATATAAAGATTAATTTGTGACTTTGTTAAGGTTACTGTAATGCATGCTATCAAACTTAGATAAAGTCAAAGTGAACATAAGGAATTCAAGCAATCAGCAACTTGCATGTACCAACTAGATTTTACAGTACCTCCGGCCATTTTCAACAACATTCTCTGTTTCTCCTTTCTTCGTTCCACCTCCTCCTCCCTCCTCTTTTGTCCTCTCCTGTTTATCGCTCTGTGAGCTGCCGCGCGCCTCTCCATCTGCGAATGATGTGTTTTCTGTAGCAGTGTTGACATGAGAAGACTGACTTGTGGTTCCAGGAACTGCACCTTTATGGGTATCTTCACCTGCACGCGATGCGTCAGGTGAAGATTTGGGATCTTGGACAGAGTCCCCCTGAGCTCCCCCTGTGTCATTGCTTGAGACTTTAGATGAAATAGGTTTGGTGTCTGAGGAAAGGCGAGAAGCTTTTAAGTCTCCAGGTGGGTTAAGAGTCTCTGCAGAGGCTTTTTGAAGTACAGACGATGAAGTCGGAGTGTCTGATTTCCGGTTGGCCTTTGCATCTGTCCTTTCATTCTGTGCTGCAGAGCCAGTGTCCTTTGACGCACGAGAACGAGGTGTGGAGGTGGAGGTGGTGGTGCTTTTTGTTGTGCATCCCGTCTTCTTTGGATGAGAGGACTTGGCTGAGGAGGACAGAAAATCAGACGTTTTTGTTTTTCTAGATGCTCTATTTTCTGAAGACATGCACAAAAACCTCCTAATATGCTTATACAAATTCTATGTTGTAAAAGACAAATATTTATGTGTTTTAAAGTAAAAATGTCATCAGTAATATATGTAGTTAATAACACGCGTATGATAATGTGAGAATCATCCCAAAATATAAGCAATGTTTATATTCTGTTTAATGGCTGTTGGCTACTTAACCCAGGGAACTATTGCTAGTAGTCTTACACCTTCTGTTCAAGTGAAACATTTTGATTGGCTGCATGGATAAAACTGAAGCGTATAAAACGCGATGTCTCACTTTTGCTCTCTATTTCAATCAAAGTAGTTTCACCTAAAGTATGATCGGCCTTGAATTTTATTTTTCAAATGCATCACGTTTTTTGTCTAGGCTGTGCAATGCCAGAAAACGTAACCATTTTTGATTAATACATAATCCAAGTGTATGCAGCACATATGGATTCCAATATTTACCAACTCTTAAACTTAAACATAATAGAGTAACTATCTAAACATATCTTCTCCATTAAAACTGTGACAAACACAGAATACCTAAGGATATACTGACTACTAAAGTATGTTTTCAAGTCTATGTGAAGTGTCTTTGTGTGCTGGTAAAAACACCCTTAGGAGAGGGGGTGAACTTAGGATTTCGAAGTTATTCAAACATTAATGAAGCAACGTTTGTGCCACTTTCCTGAACACACCACAAAAGACACAAATATCCTCTGAAAGGACTGCATGAACATCACATGCAGTGTTCTAAGTTTTGTTTAACCATGCTATATATTGCAGCACAGACACACACACATATACACAGGAAGCAGGGGGATGATCATGCCCTGGTGTCATGCTAGTGAAACCACACAAGCTCGTCAGATTGCTCTCTCTCTCTCTTTCTTGTTAAAGTGGCGATGCTACACTGACCTCACTCACTTTTCTTGCTCAGCCCCTCTGACACACACACAAACACTGCAGACATTTCTAGAGGTTCACAGATAAATCTTTACCTCTGCTTTCTTGGAAAACAGGCAGATATTGTAAATGACATGCTTTTTATAAGGAAAGCACATCGTGAAGAGGGAGAAAAGGGGAAATACTAACCACTTGACAGAAACTTCAATAACATTTGCACGAGTGTGCACATACAGCCATGCTTAGAAGGAACAAACTGCTTAATAGTGACTCCTATTTTCCTTCCAACAGTGAGAGAAGGGCATTCTCCATGCGGGAATGAGGGAAGGGATGAACACTGACAGGCCAGCTGGTTTCGGTTCTAACCATCTGAACTTACCAGTCCCGCGACCAGTTGTGTTAGTGTTCCGTGGGGGTTAGCTTTAGCCTGTGTGGACGACCCAGTCTTGACAGTGGTTTTAGTTGTCTTTTTAGCCCCAGAGGCACCATCCTTGTGCTTTGCCGTGGCTGCGGTGCCACCGGCAGGTTTGGATGATGCGGGCGGAGTGGCGCTTGGCTGTTTTTAGCTTGAGTCTCTCGAGGTCGCGCCTGATTTGCCCAGGTGTTAGGTTTAGTATCAGACCTTTCTAAATAGATGAGAGGGAGTAGGAAGGAAAAGTGCAGCAGTTACAGGTTAATATAAAGGCTGGAAGGAAGATAAAAGTTGCTGATCTGTGCAAACTGATGCACAAATAGAGAGGTGGACAAGCAGAGACAGAGGAGAAAATGAATGATACAGAAAGTGTATGACAGAGCTGATGATGAAGGGCTCTTGTACAGCTTTTCCAGAGAACTGATAGATAATATGTACCCATTAACCTTCCCAGGCTCCAGGGTAGGCGATAGTATGTGTGTTCAGTTGCTGTACTTACAGAGTTTGTTGCCTTTGCCTTTCTGATTATTGACAAATGAACAAACAAATGGCTACAAGTTCAATGCTAACAGGGTTGAGTTGAAAACAGCACAACACTTAAGCAGCATCAGACACAAGAACAGTGGCCTGTCTCCTCAGGGAGAGAGAGGCATTAGGAGGAGAAGATACAGCTCTGTTCAAACTGTGAATGCCTATTGCAGGCTGATATAATGGGAATATCTATCTGAACACATTAGACCCGCTCATTGATCCCACAGTGAGTTCAATGTCAACCAGAAAGCTGCTGCAGATACTAATGCATTCCACAGCCCAGAGGAAAAGACATCAAAGCACCTAAAAAAAGCTACAATATTTAGATCCAGTATATAAAAATGGAACAGTTCAAGGGCCGAAAAAGCCCCACATTCCACAAAATGTGAGTTCTCTGTAGAAGAGTAAAGTTTTCTCAGCATTTAGCACGTCTCTAGCGACAACCGTTTCTTGCTTTAATTTTCAAACAAATAACGACAATGCATCTACCGTATTTCCCGGACTACAAAGCGCACCTAAATATTAGCCGCACAAGCTAAAATCAGGGGAAAATCCTGTTTTGTACATACATTAGCCGCACCTGACCAAAAGCCGCAGGTGTTTCAATGTTGACTTATCATATGTAAGAGAATATGCACAAAGGGAATTGTCAGGAAAGAGATGGCTGTTTGGAGACATCACTTTTATTAATATTTTGAAAAACAAGTTATGGGTACATATTTGCACATGTAGTACATAACAATAACCTACAGCACACCAGAAAAATAGATTCGGCCTACCCTTTTAGGCTCAGGTGCAGTGACACAGCTTTAACAAGAAGAAAAGTCAGTCATTCACCACCATCTTCCTCTTCTTCCTACGCACTAAAACCACCAAAGTCCTCTTCTCCAGTGTCGGATACAAACAGGCTCATGATGGCTTCGTCATCCACTCTTCTTCTCTCCTTCGTTGTCACTTTCAAAACCAAAGAAATCCTTATTGTCAGTGTCAGAGTCGAACACCCTCAGAAGGGCCGTGGCGGTGTCCTCCTCTCCATCATGCAGCAGTCCAGCCCTTCAAAATCCGTTGGTGATCGTGGATGTTTTCACACTTTTCCACGCTGTCAGAATCCACCGGTGGAGTTGGGCATAACTTGCTTTTTGGGCATAACTTGCAAGTTTATCGCCGCTCATCATCCACGGCTCCCGCTGAACGCGTAGCGCTACTTTGAAGTTTGTTTTTCGCGCTACTTCGTACGGCACTACGTTGCCTGGCGGACGGACATGTGACTAACATACCACTCTTGAACCCCGATCCTTCCGCCAGGCAACGTAGTGCCGTACAACAGCGGAACACACAAAACAAATCGTCTTACGATATGACAAAAATCACGGACAATCCATAGAAAAGCCGCACCTGACTAAAAGCCGCAGGGTTCAAAGCTTGTGCAAAAAGTAGCGGCTTATAGCCCGACATTTACGGTATATATAATTCTTCAATATATGCAGGTGGAAGACTGTTACCCTGGGCTTGTAACTTCAACTAGTACAGGAATCTGATGGTTAGAGACTCCAACCAGCCCTGGATTACAGGCCAAAGTATGACAAAGGTTATATTGTGACTGGTCCAAAGGTTACCTGGTTTCTCCTCAGTTCTGACCGGGCCAGTTGCCTGTTCCTCCCGCAGTGTTTCTTGAGACTCAATGTCGACTTTGACTTCCTCTGGCGTCAAACTGGATGTGGCATGGCCGTTCAGATTTTCACTGATGACTGGTTCATCTAGGGGAGAAGAAATAAAAGCTGCTTTTTAGTCATTTTCTCCATCTCCTGATATGACACAAACAACATGTGACAAAGTAAAAAGGCTTTGAAGTGTAAAGAACAATAAAAAACATGTTAAGATGTGTCTTACAAGGTGAATTGCTTTGCTTTGTAATAAGTAAATGTCATAATTTGGGGAAGAAGAGGTGTGGCATTCAATGTGTTCTTGAGCATGGATTTGACTGAGACATAGGACAAACCTTGGTCTGGGATGAGAACTCCTTTCTTGATGAGCTCCTCCCTCGTTTGTCTAGTGGAGATTTTTCTCTCTAGAACTGAAAGACCAACAAGCTCAAGTTCAATATATTTATTCGAACACATCAACAACACAATGCCAAACCACATTTTACACAGTTTGCAACTGCATGACGTTGAAATAAGAGACGGGGTGACGAACGGGCCTGCCTACAATCCAGACCTGTCACCCCATGTAAACATTTTGCACATTAAGAAAAGAAAAATGTGACAAAGGAGACCACATAATGTTAAGTAAACGAAATCCTATATATAAACAACTGTGTGAATATATTTTATACTGTTTTCTAATAAATGTGGTGTTTAAATTACTTGTAAATCACCACAATCTGCTTTTACTGACATGGAAATGTGGTTGTGTACTGATCTCAGACCCCTCCCCCCCGAAAACTTTGACACCAATAAATAATCTAATTATAAAGAAAGACGTTCTACTTCCCAGTTAGCACCTTATATATCCTATATATCTAAACTGCCTGAGCGCTAGCATTAAAGGGACATAGAGGAACACAACTTTCATATAAACACAGGAAAAGCAAAAGATAAAACCTAGCAGCTTTCAGGAAAAAGAGTCTCTGGTTTTTGTATTTACCTCTGTCTCTCTTTATTTCCCAGCCAAACCCCTGAGGAATCAATCAGCAAGAACTACAAACAAACCATTCACTCTTTTCCTTTTAAAGCTCTTCTGGGAGCAACAGTGCTCCATTTCACGCGTAATGTTCCACACAAATCCAAAAATGCAATCTGAGATATTGACCAGACACTTGATTGAGGAGAACAAATCAGAAGCGACTCATCAGCTTGTTGATACAGTGTCATTAACATACACATCCACACACGGACACACAAGACGTCCTACCTTTTGAAAGATCCTGGAACTTGTCGCTGGTCTTCTTCTTCCTCCACTTCCAGGGTTTGAAAAGTTTGCCCAGGGTTGACAGCTTGCCTCGCTGCTGCCGTGATGCATGGGCATTCTGGGCATTGGCAGAGCTGTCCACCGCCACGTCGCAGCTGGCCAGAGATGTTGATTTCTCCAGTCCCTCAACTAGAAGACACGAAAGCAGAAATGCATATAAATAAGAGAAAAGCAATATCAGCGTGCAACCCAGGCAGGGCCCTTATATTTGCATATTATCCATAAGCCTTTGCAGCCTTTCTCTAGGAGAGCTGGTCTCTCCTACAACGGATATGCAAAGATAATCCTGCCATCTGAGCACAGGAGATTCTTATTCTCAAGACCAACACTTCCAATTTAAATAAAAATAATAATACTGGACCTTAATTTCAGTCAAACTAGTTTATTTTAACTCCTTCATACTGCACAATACTACAAGTATAGGCCATCTACGATGTACACATGTGTTATATGTTATAAAACAGATTTTTCTGCCTTTCTAATACTTCTTCTTCTTCTGTGATATACTGAACAGCCTGAATCCCACCCTTCAAATTACTCAACTGAAATGATCCGAGAAGGTGAAGGACCCTCTTTACTTAAAGTGCTCTCAAACATATGCAATCATCTGACCCCCTTCCTTCAGGTCACAGCAACATGATGCTCAAAATAGAGTCATAGCACTTAAGATTCATTTTTATTCCTGTAGCCATTTAAAGGACGACAGGAAAAATGGCTCTCTTAACATAATGGAAGCTTCCACAAACCACAGTGCACTTTATCTGGCTCTATAGTTTGCATTTTTTATGTGCAGGATTATAGCGGTGTTTATATTTTCAGTCTGTATTTACTGGAATTGTGTTTATATTTTAATAGTGTAGTGTTATTTAGTATTATACACATCTCTTTAACAAGTGATTACTGGTGTTTACTGCCGAAGGCTTGTTCCTGTTAGTTTCCCGATAACGCCCGCCTATATTATCAACTAAAAGCTTTAAATGAAGACAGATCCACACACGTTTTTAAGATGGAGTCAGCAAGTGTTAAAAAAAAGCTGAGAAATAGTCATATTTGTCGCGCTCTACAGGTCAGTCAGGGGCGAATATTTGTTTTTAACAGTATTTGCAGTGCGTGCGCTTGTGTGTGTGTCTTGGCGAGATCCTTGTCCTCCCACAGCTCCTCCTCTTCCTGCTGAAAGATTAGAAGAGCTGTGAAACTTCTGGGATAATGTCGACAGTGTGTGCAAGTGCGTGTGTGTGTGTGTGTGCAGGAAGCTTACAGAGGAAAGAGAGGTGGTGTGTGTGATTCCTCAGATTTAAGCAGAGGAAGGCTTTTGTTTTTGCAGCTACGTAACACTGCTGAATCACCGCTGACTCTGTGGAGCCCAGCTAGCGGCAAATCATTTTTTCCGCAAAAACTTTTGAGTAATTTATGTCTTTTTTCATATTTGCACTCCCGAAGAAAAGGTCAAGTTATTGCTGCTTGTAGGAAATGAAGTTCAGCGATGTGGAAATATTGAAGGAGCTGTGTGCTTTTAGCACAGAAGTGCTCTTAAATGACAGAACAGCCCCAAAACCATGCCTTTATGAACGCATGGCGCAACATAGAAGACTAACTCGGCTGTCCTTCTGCATCTAAAGGGAAATGGTCACTTTTTTGAAGATACCAGTGTTCACATTTTGGACAGTTTAAATGAGGAGTGAAAGAAGCCATCTATGTCCACTGTGAATGACCATCTTTGAATAGAGGTGGTGGTTTATGACACCAACTGACTGCCATCTCAATCCAGTTCTGAGATCCCTTCCCAGACGCCTTGACGACCATTCACATCCTGTGCCATTTGACCTCAGGAAATCACGTGATAGGGTGGGGTTAAGTTTCACGATGAGCTCACCCGAAACCTCGGCTGATTGTGACCTACACTCGTTTTCACACCTTGGCTCGTGTGATTAGGTCGAGGATCAATAGGGGGTCCATGACCCTCTCAGGGACACTCCCACAGAGCTTAAATCTGGGACTCTCCATCATTTGACTCTTAGAACTGAAGAAGCTTCTCGGATGAGAGGTGAAACTTCTTCAAGCAATTTAAAGAGGTCCAGACGCTTTTCTTTCCAAGCTCCTCAGACTAAGATGACCTGGATGACTGAGAGCCTTCACAGACACTGTGCTGAACACTTTATTTTTATTATATTAATATATTTAAATTAGTGCTGTCAATAGATTAAAAAAAATTAACTAACTAATCTCACAATTTTCTGTTATTAATTGCGATTAATCTCAATTACTTTATTAATAGCCTGGCTCCAATTACATTTTTTTATTCTTTATATTTTAAGTAATTATCGTTGTTCACCGAAGTCCAGTGGTCTCCGGTGAGAGCGACATTCCTTACTTGCACAAGCTTGCTGGACTGCTGAGCCCTCTGGTCCCCATACAAAGTGTGCAGTCTCGACACAATGGTTCCTCTCGAGGGCAGATTGTAACACTCATCTCCTGATGCAGCACGAATGACTTCTCTCAGTCCATCATCTTCTACTATGCTAACTGGTCGGCAGTTTTTAGCTATCCAAACAACCAAGGAATTGGTTACCTTTTCTCTCACATTTTTTGTTATTCGTCCACAAGCACCATACTCCTGAAGCGTAGACTGGCGAGGTCCCGTAGAGGTGGATTCAGTTGGGTGTTTTGCTCTCAGGTGATACGCCAGTGATGAACTGCTTCTGTGGTACTTGAATTCAGCGTTGCAAATTGTGCATCTTACTCTCGTTTTGTCCAACAAGCCATCAGGCAACTTCTTAAAGAGAAACTTTCCACCCAAAAGTCCGCCCTCGTCCATGCTTGCGTGTGTTAGCTAGTGTTAGCTAGATAGTAGCATGGTGTCACTTCTTCTTCTTGTAATCATTTCTGTCAGGCCAAACGCCAGCATAGCACACTGTTGCCCCCTCCTCCAGAGGTGCTCATGAATTTAAAGGTCTTAGATTACAGGAAATTAATAAAAAAACAAAATCAGCGTTAAATTTTTTTAATGCATTAAACATTTCGCGTTGATCTTAACAATTAACGCGATAATTTTGACAGCACTAATTTAAATGCAGTCAGACTAAGTAATAATAGATGTTTGGAACATTAATCAGCCATGTGCAGAAATTAAAAGTAATTACAAAACATCACACCTACAATTTGCATTACATAAAAAGCCTGGCTCAAGTTCAACTTCAGCTGATATGTCTTCAACACAATACTTGGATGTTTTTCACATGAAGTCATGGTGATTGTTTTCTCCAATTATGTGGACAGCTTCAATTAATTCTGAAAACAAAACTTTAAAAGATGCAAGATCAAGTGCACGATCCAGGATCCTGGTTACACTAATCCATAACAATTTGTATTCTGATTGGCAAGAGGAAATATACTCATGAGCGCAACCTACATTTGTTGACATGGTAGCAGCCTGGTTTAAAAAACTAAAAAAAAATACAGAATCATCGCAAAACCTCAATAGCCGAAGGCCAGGGACTCTCATGTCATCTGCAAACTGAGATAAACGCAATTATTCAAGGGAGACGATTTAAGGGAATTCATTAATTCATTCTTTCAAGTGCATTCTTAACTCCTAAATTTGCAAATGCTAGCTACACATGGAGGGAATCACTATGCCTGCTCAATAAAAATAATAATGCATTCCCACTCAGCTCATGTCACTCTAAATACTTGCCGACAAGAAAACAATAAAAGTTGGTTGAAAACAGAACAGTGCAGTGTCAGTACTGTTTAAGATGCTTATGCAGCCCCATTGTCAGCAAAAAAAAAAAAAAAAAAGAAATCTGCCAGATTTCCACCAGACCAAAGCTTAAAAAACACTCAGCTTAGCTGACCAGATGATCCAGATGTTCATTTTGGCAGTAAAGAAGTTAAGTAACCATTTGCCTAACAGCAACTAAAGTCACTCAGTCAAGCATTTCCTGGCTAAGCAGATCTAGTGGGTCAAATCCATTTCATAACCTTCAGCTCAATTGAAAACTATCAATAGCCTGATGATTGGTTGGCTCTCACCAGCATTGGCAGATAGCTGATTCGCACTCTGCACAGATGGACATGGGCTAAAACTGATGAGTGTAAACTATCTCTGACTGCTGCTTACTGCTGATGAAGGATCAATGCATTGTTTATTCACACGCTGTGAGTAATTAAAGTCTACATAAGTGTACATTTTTTTTCTACTAGTGTTGTTTATTTTCCACGGTGATGAAAGTCTCTCTTTTTCCCCTGCATTACTGAAGCTAAAGTAAATGTGCATCGATCAAAATATTTGTTGGAACACTGTCAATTAAATATGATTAAACCAAATTCACACAGGTTTACAACTAACAAACTCTTAATATCTAACAAATAATATCGAATCTTCTTATTCTGTCTATAAATTTAAAGACAGTTTTGCAGGTTTTAAAACATTTGGTGGTCTTTAGCAGATCTAAACTAAATAAAGTAGGATTATTATAACAAAAAACTGATGTGTCATTAGCCTAAAGTGTAAAATGAGGGTCAGATAGTAAGAAGTAATATAACTAGAGCAATATAACCATAACAAAGCACTCTGCTTTGTTAAAGAATGCTCGTAAAATCATAGTTTCATTATTGCTCCCAACAGTATTGTGATCACCTTTATCACATCGAGTGCTCAAGGACAAACATGTACATAAAAACAATGGCAGTAAAGAGTGAAGACATGGAGAAGTGCAGCACAGAGCCCCCTACAACTCCCCTCAGACCAATGTAGCACCCTCTTTTTGCACACACACACACACACATACTTTGCATACACACACTCATTTCCTGTTCCTGTGTTGATATCAAATCACAACAATAGGTGCATTTCAGCAGCTACTCTGTACCGCTAACGATGGGAAAATCGGTAACAGCGATTATCATCACCATTAGGCCAACTATCAAACTTCCAGTGGGAACCAAACAGGGACAATGGATTGACTGACTACTTGCTGAGAAAAGAAAATGAAACGAAGAGGCAAAAGAAAACTCACTGCTTAGTTTAGAGAAGAAACAAAGCAAATCATCAAAAGAGATTCATCTGCTTCCCATTTTTCGGAACCGATTGTAATACAGTCTTTTCAAATTCCTGGTTTCACAGTTAT